AGAATAATTTAATCTCACCTCAATGGAAAGAAAAAACAAACACCCGTAAAAGGGCAAATCACCCCTAAAACTTGGCCTTTTCTGAACACTGAGAGTACTAATACTTTGCGCACTACTCATTTTATTTATTTATTTTTTTCTGGAAATGGAAAAGAAGATAGGAGACCCAGTTGTCTCTTAAAGTTTTAAACTGATGATGCTGTGGATTAGTAGGACCTGCAGTTACCTAGTTCCTTCCTTTCCCGGGACCCTGAATACTCATGTGCATACTGAGCATACGTCCTTTAGAACCCCTTATGCTGTCGTCCTGAATTTCGTAGTTATGAGGTCAGTACAAAGAAGAACTTACACACTTGTGGAGCTTTACAGCTGTGCTTGGTACTTCTCCATCCCTTTGCTTCCCTTTCCCAAACCAAGTCTCACACGTCAGGGGGATGAATTGCTTTTCAACGTCAGACGAGTTTGGTGTAAGATGTATTTGCAAAGCAAAATAAAAAGAATCCACAAAACACATAAATAAAATTCAAACCACCTTGTGAGTGGGGCTCTGTCATGCTGCTGCTGCTGCTGCCGCCGCCACTGCTGCTGCCGCCGCTGCTGCTCTAGACCTTCTTTTGGAGAAATGGCTTTCGGAAGTTTTGCCAGGAAACGTAGCTCTAGGCAGCTCTGTAGCCCCTTTCTGCTTGCTGCACTTTCTCCATTCGTTCCTTTGCTTTTTGCAGGCTCTGACCCAGCGAAGGTGCGCATTATCCACCAGATACGTGGAAGAAGAGGGAAACCAATTAGGGTCGAAATAAATGCTGGAGAGAGAGGGAGTGAAAGAGAGAGAGCGAGAGCGAGAGGGAGAGAGAGAGTCTTGCTTCAAATTGCTCTCATGTTAGAGACGAAATGAGAATTTAGCGCAGGTGGCACTTTTATTTTTATTTGGGTTCACATGTAACAGACAAATCCTATACGGGATGGAAATGGACATTGCCACGTTTATGGCCAAGGTTTTCAATATAAAACAAACAACTTTTTTTCTTCTCCTTTGTAAAACTAGTATTTTCTAGGGAGGCTGCTGTCCTCCAAACTGAATCTTGATAACATTATGGGGACTGTGTTTGTTTAAAATGTGGTAGTACAGCCTAGTGCTGGCAATCTAGTGAACCTGAGGAAAAAGAGAGGAGTGGTAATGGGGGCAGAGGGGGGTGATTGCCAGTGTTGTGCCTGTTTTAGTTTTAAGTTGGATGGTGATGTATTTTACTAAAATGAGCCCTTAGCACAAACTCTGAGTTATATAGTGAGCATATGAAAGATCTTTGACGAACTCTGAAGGAACAAATGTCTTCTTTTCAACAGTAATATTTCTTTGTTTCTTTTAGATGTTTTCACCTCCCGTGAGCAGTGGGAAAAATGGACCAACTTCTTTGGCGAGTGGACATTTTACTGGCTCAAGTATGTAAATTTAAAAAAAAAAATGCAGTTAAATGTTCTTTGCTGTTTGTTCACTCATTTATATTTTTGGCTCTGTTGAAATGTTCTGAAAAAGTCATTGAAATTTTAGCCTGTAATGATACGGTTATTTCATTATCCATCAGTGACATAACTTACACAAAATGTCATCTTTTGCAAAATTAAAATTAGGTCTTTTTTTTTTTTAATCAAGGAAACTGTCTCAGAATTCCATCACTTAATTTAAAAGCAATTTTCTAATACAGTTGTAATCCAACATGAAGATAAGGCCAGTGTTAAAATGAGGGAAATAAATTAATGTTCCCTATTTGAAAATAGAGGGGAAAAATGTAACTTTCATAAAAAGGGAAAATCCCTTGTAAATAATATCAGCTTTATTAGGTACTATGTATAATTAACCCTTTTAAAGAAATGAGTCTTTAATTTTGCAGAGGAATGCTGTGTAGTAAACCGTAACTGTAAATAGAGAGCCTCTTGCTAAGCTGAGAGCTAAATATGAATTCATTTATATTTAAAATATCTTTTCTGATGCTTTAGCTGTTTCTTTCTCCACACATATGTATTATGTGTGCAATGAATTTTTGCTGTGTTTAAAGTTGCAAATTGGGAAGAACCTCTCATTTTCTAAATGAAAGGTCTTTGGGTGATGCTTAAACAAGACGTTAGCGCTATTCACAAAGGAAACTGGGTGCGCATTGATTATCTGCATCTAAGGAGGAGTTTTAATAGGGAACTCTCTGCAGGTCTCTTATTAAAAGTGAAAACTGAATATATACTTATTTAAAATGTATTTGATATTTTGTCAGTTGGATTTCATATCAGGAGGAGGCGTACATTGTTGCCTGCTCTTTAGGTTCAGGGCTTAAATCCATTTATGCTGGTTAAACAGCTGCAGTATTTCAGTTCTGGCAGTGCTACATAACAGTGCATTAGACAGTGCTCTTCTTAAGTCAGACTGCTAAATGTTGACATTTTTTAGCTGTGATACTAGTGGAATTGTCTCAACTACTGAATATAATTTCACATCTCTTAATTTTCATAGTAATGAGAAATCTGTTCACCTTTATGATTTTTGTAATTGGTGTGTTTTTATAAAATGAATGGCTTCTAAAAGTTGCTCATTTCCAAGTAAGTTCTTGCTCCTTCCTCTGGCCCCCATAAATCTAAGGGAATTTTTGACTCTATAACTTGATTTATAAAATATGAGATGCCTCCTTTGTTATATTTTATCTTTTGTTTTTTTTGGGTCCGCTTTGATTAAAGTACTATTGACCATAGGTTTGCATTTTACTGCCCTGGACCCTGTTATATTTTCCATTTAGGGACTTAATTTTTTTTTGTATTGGTATTATATCTTGGAAATTTCTGTATTTTATTCTTTATATAACTTGGAAGGAAAGATGAATACAAGTGTCTCTTATAGACAAATTAATTTTTTCATGTTAGACATTATCTAAATATTAGTTAACTTTTATCTCTGACAGTAATTTTCTTCATGATTTCACTTAAGAAAAATGTGTATTTAGTTTAAATCTAGAAGTAGATTGTATCAGAAAGGTATAGAGATAGACTGTTTTCAAAGTCAGTACAAAATGCTATTTTACACTTTTTAAAAACTGACACATTTGGAGTAACTGAAGTAGGTCAGTTTAGGTAGGGCTTCATAATGTGAGGCGATCCAGAAGCATGAAATTTCTATGTGCACACTGAGATCGAGTCCTTGCTATGATGTTTAAGTGTTCACAGGGATAACAGGCTGGATAAATATGAATATGTATTAATACATTTTGGTAAATGATCATACATTGAAACTTACATAATTCTTAAGACAACTCTGTGTGTGTTTGTGTGTGTGTGTGTACACTTACACATACATGCACACAGGAACCCAGACAGAGACTTCATTCTTAGTGAGACATTATGGTATTTCTAATGAAGATGCTGTGATTATTTTTAAGGTGTTGGAATTTAAGTTACATTGTACCACAGGTGTAGTTTTTAGACTCAAATGTCGACTTGTACAGGTTAAAAATGTCGTGGCTATTTTGTTTGGGCTGCTGGGTTGAAAATGCAGGGTATTCGTCCAGTGCAGTACAATGGTGACTATAATATACAGGGGACCGATCGGAGTGTTGGTTTTTCTCATCTATTCAAGACATATTTGAACACAGGGCTATTACTGAAGTAAATGGCTTATCTTTCCACCCAATAGAAATAATTTATCCACCATGATAAAGTCTTTTTAAAGCATAACAAATTAAAACATTAGGAAAACTGGCTTTAACCAGAAGGATGAACTGGGTAACTTTGGACAGAGAAATAATTTTCTAAGTTTACTTCAGGTTCATATCCATTGTCCTGAGTATACTCAGATGTCACTTTCATGGGTAGCTTTGCATCTTGGGTCCAGGAAAAAAAGATCCAAGCTATAAGTAAACTGTTCATATTTGAAAATGCAGCTATATTTTTTCAGTGAGGCATGGTAATATTTCATGCTTAAAGTTCCCAGTAGCTTTTGATTCCATTAATGTAGGATGCTCCATCGTGATTTGCAACGTGAGAATGAAAATAAAGTGTGGCCTACTCCCTTTAATCTTTCATTTCACAAACATGGTTTTCTCTACCACCTTAAGAAATGGGGAGGCTGCTAGGGAGAATGGAATGTAACCTGAGCTACAGCCTGACATTCCCAGGGAGCATTTTTCACATGAAAGGCTTTTGTCAACCCAGGAAAGGACCAGCAGTTTTTGTTTGATGTTTGCAGGTGTTCAACAGAGAGCACTAAAACAATTCAGCCATGATAGTTCAGAGCCACGATGACCTTAACAGGGAGATTGGTGGGCTCTGGAATTATTTTTAAGGAATAGTTGTAACCCATATGGTAACTTATACAAAGGGATTTAATATCCGTTATATCATTGATCTTAAAACAAACTAAAGCATCCACATGCCTGGATAATTGGAAAATTATTCTCATTAAAACGTAGGATGGCAAAGTTACCAAAAGAAAAAAAAACTGCTTCTGGAGTCTGTAATTTATTGGTTAACAGGGGCTTAATTTTCTAATATAACAAAAATACTGTTTATTTGGTTACCTTTGAGTCTTTTATAAGCAAGAGATAAACATGCTAACTTTAGGATCTTTTTAAAAAGTAGTTTTAAAGTTGGACCACTAAAATTACCTATACTCAGGAACAACCCTGGCCACATCTGTTGCATGTATTTACAGTTGGTCTGTGACGGATACTACATCTTCCTCCCTTAGTTTAAAAGTTGAGCTTTTCCCCCTGAAACTGTTTAGTTTTACTTAAGTGTTCAGCATTTGTTAAGGATTGCCAAATAAATGGTGTTTGAACAATTAAGAGCAGTAGTAAAACACACCACATCTCTGTCATGGTCATTTTTGAAAGAGGAAAAACATTTGATGTTCATACAAGTTAGTTAACCTTCACCCACATGACACCAAAACAACATATCAATTTAGTAAATTCAGAGAGAAAAAAAAATGAATCCAATGTGCAGTACTGTACCGCAGAGAAAATTCAAATGGTCAGCATCCTGAATTGATTTACACCGGTTTCAATTCATGGTTATAGCATGAAGAAAAATTGGTGTCACCTTAAAGGTGTTTGTTGAATAGAGTTATTTAATTGTGTGTGTGCACACACGTGTGTGCACACGTGTGTGCACACGTTTTAGAACAGCCTTGCTATTATAGTACAATCATAACGGTTGTATGGCTTTTTGTAAAGAGCAGGGTAGTTTACTAGATTAAAAATAAGTAAAGTGGTGTTAAATCCATTATGTTAGAATCATGGACTTTTGGAGATAGAAACCCCTTAGAAATATAGAGCCAAAGAAAACTGAGGCTCATGTTAAGGAGTTTCTGTGCCTTTATTTGCTGTTCTAAAAAAACAAATTGTGATTTGCTAATTCTCTATGGCTCTGCAAATAAATCCTTTATTGGAATAACATTGGTTTCATTACTATGTTTTTCTGTAATTTGTATTGCGTAATAGAATATCGGGATTTATGTGTTGATATTTGTGCATACAAATGCTTTCGCATGTGCATGTGACCTTTGAATGCTCTCTAAGGCTTGGAACTGGATTTTGGATATCGATCATTCTTTTTTGCCCGATCTCCCCTGTGCCTATTTGCAAGATGTTAGATTGAACAATAGGGTGCAGATGGGCATGACACTGACAGAATTAAATGCTTCTTAGTATGCCAAGAGGTATGCTATGCACCTTATTTGTATTGTATTTTTAGAATTCTCACAAGATCCATCTATGAAATGAGCATGGGCCACCATGCTCATTTCATAGATGAGGAAACTGAGATTCAGCGTTGTTAAAGAACTTGTTCTCAAGGCAGCTAGTATTGAATTAGGTTTTAAACACAGACTTGCCTAGCTCAATATCCTTTTCACACATGCACGCCCTCATAAACGCACAGAGGCAGATATACCTATTTTTTCAAGATTATATAAGGATAAGAATATATTATTGAGGCTTGGCCTGCAATACTAGTCCTGATCTTTAGAGAAGATAAGCATTTTTTTAAATCCTCACCTGAGGATATGTTTATTGATTTTAAAGAGAGAGGAAGGGGGGGGGAGAGAGAGAGAGAGAGACATCAATGTGAGAGAGAAACATCTATCAGTTGCCTTCCGTACACACCTGAGCAGGGATCAAACAACCAACCTAGGTATGTGCCCTGATCAGGGAATCGAACTTGTAACCCGGCCAGGGCTGGAGTAGATAAGCATTTTTAAAAACATATGTAAGATAATGCTATAAATCAGGCCCATTATTTTTCCTGCCCTAGTATTCAAATAAGCTAGCCTTCTAATTTATGTTGGATTTCGATGTGACTTGGTATGCCTCACTATTGTTGTTATTATTATTATTACAAGGAAAATATAGTAGATATTTTCAAAGTTGTGCTTTTGTTCAACTGACAGTCTCCATAGGTGCCAG